GAAGATGCTCACAATTGAAAAGCCTGCACGGTTAACCGGAGCAGGTATCAAGGTCCAACCGAAGGACAGCGATGATTACAGAAAGATCCGTAAGACATTGGAAGATGCAAAGATAGAGCATCAGACTTACTCCCTTCCAGAGGATAAGCCACTGGGAGTGGTACTAAGGGGAATGCCCATCATAACCACCTGCCAAGAGATCGGAGAAGACTTGGTCAGGCAAGGCTTCCACCCAAAGAGGGTGAATAGGATGACCAGCAGAAGGACTGGCAAAGCGATACCGCTGATTAAAGTAGATCTCCCGAAGGAAGAGACGGGGATCTACAAAATAAATGCCGTTTGCCAGCGACGTCGAGGAGCTGCCATCTTTGCCACCAGATACGCATCTCAAGTGATGTCGCTGGTGATGAAAAATCCGGCTGCCAAGAAAGCGTATTTCGCTCATCTGGACCCCCCAGCGCAGGACACCCAAGAAAGAGGCCATCCATAAAGTCGAGAACCGACAGTTGGAAGAAACGTCCACCACGTGGCTTATATAATGCTTTGAGTTATATTGACTGGTCCATTTTACGTAAAATTACTGATGTTAATGAACTATGCGATACATTTTATGTTAAAATTTTTTCAATATTTGATATTTATGTTCCTAAATATACCAACACCTGCAAATTCAGGTATCCTCCTTGGTATACTGGAGAAATTATAAGTTACATAAATTTGGAGGATTATTACTACAGAAAATATAAGAGAACACGCAATGTTTACCATTACAATGAATTTTCTAGATTGCGCAGAATCATAAAGGGGCGAGTTAGAGTTGCTTACAGTGAGTACTTGTCGTCGGTTGAGGACAGTATAATCAACGACCCGAAGAAGTTCTGGTCATACATTCGGAATAAGAGAGACTGTAGCAGAATACCAGGCCAAGTCCAGTTCAACGGCAACGTATTCAGTACTCCACAAGGTGTTATTGATGCATTTGCCGACTATTTTAAGAGTGTGCATGTTACTCCTCGAAATATTCCCTCTTCTTTAGTTAGTGTCACTTCAACATCATGTATTTATCTAGAGGAATTAACGGAAGCTGATGTACTGAAGTCTCTCTCTAAGCTTCAAAATAAACTTACGTCTGGTAGTGATCAAATACCTAGTTTTATTATTAAAGATTGTGCTCATGTTTTCGTCAAGCCGATGCTGATAATTTTCAATGCTATATTAAAGAGTGGAATTCTTCCTGATGTTTGGAAGATAGCTAAGGTGTGTCCGGTCCTGAAAGATGGTGATAAATCTGATGTACTCAACTATAGAGCTATAAGCATTTTGAACAACTTTGCAAAGGCTTTTGAAATGGCCATTTACTCTTTTATCTTCGTGAACGTTAAAAGCCTAATTACTCCATCACAACATGGTTTCATCAAAGGTAGATCCACTACGTCAAATTTAATGACAATTACGCAGTATATAGCAGAATCGTTAGACAAGAAACAACAAGTCGATGTTATTTACATGGATTTCAGCAAGGCTTTCGATAAATTAAACCATCATCTTCTTGTGGATAGCCTTCATTATTTCGGCCTTAGTGACTCGTTAGTAGGTCTTTTAAGCTCATATCTTTCTAATAGGACGCAATATGTTTACTATAATGGTTATTCTTCAGCAAATTATACTGTTCCCTCTGGAGTACCGCAAGGTTCAAACCTAGGTCCCTTGCTGTTTTTATTCTTCATAAATAACCTAGTCGCTTCACTAAAGTGTGAATGTCTACTATTTGCTGATGATCTGAAATCTACACCAAAATTACAAATTTGGAGCGCTGTATTTCCCTTCAGGACGATCTGCATACCATCAGACAGTGGTGCGACAATAATATTCTCTTCTTAAATATTTCCAAATGTAAAGTATGTTCATATTGTCGTAAAATGAACCCGATTATGTTTGATTACTCCATAAATAATGCGGTTTTGGAGAGAACAACAGAGACTAAAGATCTTGGTGTAACATTTTCCTGTAGATTGGACTTTTCTGTCCATGTAGCACGCGTCACTTCCGAAGCGACACGGATTCTGGGTTTCATAATGCGCAACTGCCGATCTTTTTCCAACGAAGCGGCACTAAAAGCTCTTTTTATTTCACTGGTGCGACCAAAACTTGAGTATGCCTGTTTGATATGGAACCCTTTCTATGCGTATTATATAAGCATCTTAGAAAATGTGCAGAGGAAATTTCTTAAATTCTGTGTTTATAAAATCGATGGCACATATCCAGAAAGGGGGGTCTCTCAATTTGTTCTGCTGCGTCATTTTGAACTAGAGTCTCTACAGTTAAGACGTTCCACTGCTGGCCTATCATTCCTTCATAAGCTTTTGCACGACAGAGTGGATGCACCAGAACTTCTCCAGAGGTTAAATTTCTATATTCCACGGTTAAATACGAGAAGAACTCTAACTTTCTACTGCAGTACCTCCCGTACAAATGTATTATTTTATTCTCCGCTACATTCTATATGCAACAATTATAATTCCATAGCAGACAGTTCTGACATTAATTTTGATTGTATCAGTAAGATCGTGTCGAATTTCAGGTACTATTATAATAGCTAGTTCTATTTTTTTAAATTAGTTTTAGGTATACATTACATGTATGAATTATAAGTAAAGTTACCATGATATTGTCCTTTAATTGGAATAGTTCTGTTGGGCAATAATGTATAAATAAATAAATAAATAAATAAATATGAAATCAGTGCGACACTGCTATTCCGTCATGTGTTAACTAACGTGGTTTTGAATCACGGCACGAGTTATAGCGTTAGGTCTGTGCGGTCAAGACGAAAGTGCAAACAGCGCCCACAAGCCAGGCAATCACAGCGCGATCTACGTTCGTGCTTCGATGGCCCTGGCGCGTCTCATGAACGTTGCGTGTATACTCGAGCCCCACTTGAGCAGGCTATGGACGCAGCTCTCTTTGAGCTGCTTGGTCAGGCCAAGAGCATGCTTAGTAGGCTCGTTACAGCGTGGCCATACGCCACGTGCCCCGACTATTATGGGCAAAAATTCAAAAGACTTGCCGGGCCAGCGAAGTCGTGCAGCCTCTATAAATTTCGTATTGCTATAAACAAGTTTCTTTCGCTGCCACGCCGCTCCTAAGCCTTCATTACCTTCCCAGGATATTTGCACTTCCGCAACCACTGTGCGCCCCCCTTCCATGTGTACGACTATGTCAGATTTGTACAACTATTGGTCGGGGTGGCGCACGTGTGGTTCTTCTTTGACCTGCCAATTTTTTTATCTGCGTGGGCTGCGATCTTGCGAGCCACCTCGTTGTGGCGACGAATTCGCTCCTCATGAGCAAGGTCGCACTTTTGAAGTACGTGGTGAAGAGTTTCCACGCACTTGCAACCTTTATTACGGCAGAGTCTTTGCTCTGCTGGCTTATACGGCAGGCCGTTGGTGGGTAGGTTATTTGTTCGTAAATGAATAGCTCGGATATAATATCTACCGGACCAACCTGAAAGGCGGGTCCAGAGCCAGCTTCTTGAAGCGGCATCCTCAGAGGTATGTTGCATACCAGAAGTGGTCGGTTTCGAGGCAATAGCCTCTCGCCAGAGCTGCTCTGCAGGGATATCCCCCGCTAGATTATGCAGCCGTCTTAAAGTCGCCAGTGTTCTGTCTGACTGAATAACACACGACACCATCTCGTCGCCAGTCTCTTCTAGGAGCTTAGTTATCCTCTTAAGGAGGATTTGGGGCACCACCCTTCTAAGCTCCGGGATGCCCAATCCGCCATCCTTGATCTTAGCATGGATGGCTGCGTCGGTTGTGTGTATAGACATATGCAAGTAGCGTTTAACTGCTCCCCGCACATGTCCATCGACATCTTTGAGCACCCCGCCCATAATTTTGAGAGACTGGAGCCCGTGCTGAAGTTTGGGCAAAAGAAAGTCACTCAGAAGCGTAAGCTTCTGGTCGGGCTTCAACGGGGCGCGATCGATGTTACCCAGCCAGACCTGCAGGTTTGGAATGTTTGCCTTTCTGACGCCTGTAGCGCCATAGTGGTGACCGAGGTACTTGAATGTGGAGAGCATGTCTATTTGCGGGATCTTGACTCCGCCGACGCTGAGGAATGGTTTCGTTATGGGGAGGGGCCGCTTGTCCCCCGAAGAAGTGACAGCACACAAGGCACTGCACTTCCTGGGATTCAAGATCATTCCCCTTCCTTGGAAAAATAACTCCACCTCCCCCAGCATCACCTGCAAGTCGTTCACCCTATCAGCTATGATGACGAGGTCATAAGCAAATCCCATCGCTGCCATCCTCACATCGGAGTTGAGTGTGCCGCCGGCCCAATTGCGGTTAAGATATTCTAGTAGTTCATCAACAACTATGTTGAACAGAATAGGAGATAGTGGATCGCCCTGTTCCACCCCCCTACAGATATTGATTGGGCGTGAGAATTCTTTGCCAACTTTGATAGCAGTGTGGCAGTTTGTGAGGGATTCACGTATATAATCCACTATCTCTTTCTCCAGTCCGACCCTCTAGAGGCCTCTGATGATGGATGAATGGGAGACGCTGTCGAAGGTCTTACGAATGTCCACCGACAGAACATTATAGCTCTTGCCGGCTTCCACTCGCGACCCGATGTAATGGTCTAAAATTAGAACATTCGCCAGCGTTCCATCGATCCTTTTGAAGCCTCTTTGATGGTGATTGAGTTGGACTGCCTCCCCAATACGGTTGTTGACGATACGATGCATAAGCCTCTGAAGCGAGGACCCAATGGTAATGGGTCTATTGTTATCGGCTTTGGCACTATCACCATCCTTGGGGACCAGCACGGTCCTACTGTATTTCCACGTCGTAGGGTGGATATTTCTCCCAAGGATGATGGTATATACTATGCTCAACTCTTTGTTGTCAATCTTTTTGATGTCAGCAATTGTAAGGCCATCGGGGCCAGGAGCCGAGTTTTGCCAGTTGGTCTTGGCCATACTGACGACATCAGGAGAGATGGAGTAAAAAAACCTCTGATGTTGCTGCTTTAGGATCACTGATGGCCTCATCATCAGTCCCTGCAGGGGATTCCCAGATCCCCGCAAATAATGTCTCCACCTCAAGTATGGTGGGTAGCTTTGGTGGCTCGTACATGCTCCGCCCCCCGAACACGATATCGGCGAGGCCGGATCTGTCCCTCGCAAATAGGTCCTGCGCCTTCTTATACTCGGACGCGCGCTTACCGCTGCTGCCCTTTGGCTGGTTGTAATGCCTGTCGGGTTGCTGGTTCCTCCTCTGTACTCGATTAATTGGGGCCTTTTTATTAAGCTTCGACTCCACCCGGCGGTCTAATGCGACAGCCAATTGCTCGGGGGAGCCGAAAATAGCCATGTCGATAAGACGTCTTATGTCCCTGTGCCCAGCCTCGGTGAAGACGCCTCTCCCCTCCCGCAGGTACTCGACAAAAGTGGAGTTTAGGTTTACCAATGGTGCAGGAGGGTTCGGTGACTTCTGGGGAAGCACTGCCCCGTGGGCACAAGGACTACTTTCAGCCACAGCGTGGCTGTAGGAGGTCCCAGGTCCGTCATTAAGAGTGTCGCGGTGCGACTTTAGAGTATTCGAAGGCGAAGAATCCGTTGCAGGGCGATCATTTGGGCTATTGACCGCAGATCCGGGTTCTTTTGATGTGGTTTGAATTCCTGAGCCACTTGGGCTTGCCACTCTTTTTCGTTTCCTCATCTCAGACGGCGCACTGGTGGGATCAGTCCCGTCAGGATTGCATTCATTCCTCTGCTTGTTTTGTCGACTTTTAGCCGGCTGCGATTTCCTCTTAGCGGGGTTGAGCTCTCGCGGTGAGTAGCTCTCCCTCGGCCGCTTCTGCTTAGCAGCTGCCTCTTGACGCTGGAAAGTAACCTGCCTTGGCTAGAGGCTGGATGCTGAATTTTACGCGAGGGCAACATGGGCGCTTCGTCGCAACCCGTGGTAGTGCTGCGACCTGAGGCAACAGCTGGTGGATCCACCGATCGTGTGGGTTCCGACTACCAGGGGCTTGGAGTTTCCTCTTTGCCAGTTCCAGATATTTCTGGTAGTCGGGTTTCCTTCTCTTGCCCCGTATCTGGTCTATCGTCAAACTAGTCACTTCAGCCATGCGTTTATTAATATGACCCGCTGGATTTTGGGCCTCGATCCCGGCCATGATCTGAAAGGTCTCTGTTTCAGGCACGGGATCGCGAAGGTCTGCGGCTTCTTTGGCGTACTCCACGGGATGCGCCTTACGATCATGTAGCCTCGTTGATCTGAAACTGCCAAAGTGTTGCGGGCAGTGCCGCACTTAAGCTTGTCGCCACAAGCCCTAGCCGTAACATGTCTTCTTAATTGTGCACTTGACGAAAAAGCATGGTCGCACGTCGTGCATTGGTACGGGGAGGATCGGGCGCCAAAATTGCAGGTCTTGGCGCCGCTGACGGGCATAGCCATTTTTATGTCTGTTTTCCCCTTGTCCCCAGTCCCGCCTGTGTTGCGGATAGGGCCAGAAGTAAATCTGGCCCGTTCTTCGTAGGACCGGCGCCGAGAATCGGCGCCTTGGTCAATCTGGCGCCTTTATTATTGGGTGGTTTGTGTAAATGCTTCCTTACTTTATGACTCGAGAGTCATAGTTACTTACTCCCGCCGTTTACCCGCGCTTGCTTGAATTTCTTCACGTTGACATCCAGAGCACTGGGCAGAAATCTTATTGAGTCAACACCCGCAGGGGCCATCTCAATGCTTTGTTTTAATTAGTCAGTCGGATTCCCCCGGTCCGTGCTAGTTCTGAGCTGACCGTTGAATGGCGGCCGAAGAGGACACCAGAACGCCCTTGCGAGCGCACTCTGGGCCTCGCAGCCGGCGATGTTGCCATCTCCCACTTATGCTACACCTCTCATGTCTCCTTACACTGCCAGACTAGAGTCAAGCTCAACAGGGTCTTCTTTCCCCGCTAATTTTTCCAAGCCCGTTCCCTTGGCAGTGGTTTCGCTAGATAGTGGGTAGGGACAGTGGGAATCTCTCGTTAATCCATTCATGCGCGTCACTAATTAGATGACGAGGCATTTGGCTATGTAAAATATTTATTTATATAATAAATACATGTACCCTTGGTGTAGGGGGTTGGTCATACAAAGTATTCGTCTTACTAATTCGAGGCCTTAGAGTAAAAGTGGCTGCGCGCCATATTATAAATTAGAATTAACAGTAATAGTGTAAATTGAGATAGATGATACACTATAAGAATTAGGTGGTAAATATAAGGTAAAAATAAATTACATTCACATACAAATACACACCTAGTTGTAAAGTGACATCACAATGTAGATAAACATGTAAATATAAGATAAGGATAAAAATAAAATACATTCACATACAAATACACACTTAGTTGTAAAGGGACAATCACAATGTATATAAACATGTAAATGTATATGACGCGCTCAGTACAGATGGACGGTACTGACAATAAGGACATAATAGTACATGAGCTAAACAAGTGAACAGTGAACAATGCCGATATTAAAACGATGGATAAAATAATAAATATATAAATAGTTAAAATACCGCAAAGGGCAGGATTATAATGAAATAAAAGGCATCGCAAGCAAGCATGAGTACTCCATCGCAGCCGCGTCCGCGACTATCGTCTGGCGGGCGCAGGACGCCGTCGCCACACGCGTCTACCGAAGGCCGAGTGGATGGTACTACCCCATTTGAGCACCGAATGGACGCAGGAGCGTCGTAAGGGAGCACCGATGTCTAGCGTGGACGAGGTCTCACCGTTACATCGTGGCCAAATTCCACGCGCACCGAGGATTATGGGCAGGACTGAAACGGTATTTCCAGGCCATAATCCCCGGGCGGCGTCGTGGAACTTGGGGTTGTCATACACTGCCTTCTTGTTGGTGTACGTTTGGGCGAGAGGCATGTTTCCCTCCCAGTTGACCCCCACGTCCACCACAACGACCTGTTCCCCCTTCATGACAGCTATGTCAGGTTTGAAGAGGGTTCCGTCGCTGTGGCGGACGTACGGCTCCTCCAGGGTGGTCCAACCCTTCGCCCGGCAGTGTTTTGCAACCTTCTTGGCAACCTCGTTGTGACGCTTGATCCTTTCCCAGTGGGTACTGGTGCACTGCTGGAGAACGTGGCAGATCGACTCCACGCGTGAGCATCCAGCCCTACACATTTTGTTTTCCGCGGTGGCATACATGCCACCGGCTGTAGGGAGGTTGTTATTCCTTAGCTGGACAGCCCTTACGAAGTCCCTGCCGGTCCAGCCTCTGGGTTTTTCCTGAAGCCAGGAGCGACTAGCCGAATCATCGGTGGCATTCTCCATACCCGCTAGGGTAGGAGAAGCTATTAGTCGCTCCCGCCAAAGCTGTACCGCAGGAAACTCGCCAGTGAGCTGCTCCAGCCTGTGCATTAGCTCACGCGTGCAGTCACTCTGCAACGCCGCCAACAGCGCATGGTCATCTTCGACTTCGATCAGTTTAATTAGTCGATTCAGGAAAACATGAGGAATGTTAAGTTTCAGCTGCTGTATCCCAAGCCCGCCATCGCGTATCGCTGCAGTAAAGGGCAGCGTCAGGAGTGTGCTCCGCAAGGTGGAGCACAGACTTGATGCAGCCCTTCACCAGACGATCCACTGACCTCAAGGTGGCCGCCGTCACCTTGGGGTTTTGCAGGCCATAGAATAGCTTAGGGATAATGTGATTTTTGAGGATTGCGAACTTCTGGTCCGGCTTAAGAGGGGATTTCTTAAGATTGGCCAGCCAGGTCGGTAGATTAGCGAGGGAAGGGCGCATTAGTCCTTTGACGGACGCCTCGTGGCCAAGATAACGGAAGCTGTTGACCTCCGTCACCATGGTCACGCGGCGTCCATCGATCGTAAGTTTGTAATCTTTCCTAGGCGCCAGGACACCCCTCGCCAATCCCACGACCATGGCTGAGCACTTTTCAGGGTTTAGTGCCATGCCTTTGGACTTCGCGAACTCAACAATCTCATCGAGGACCAGAGGGATATTCTCCTCCTGATCCTCGAGCAAGACTATGTCGTCCGCGAACGCCATGGCAGACACCTTCACCCCAGGCAATATTGTTCCGCCTCGCTCCCCATTATTAAGCCCGGCCAGAAGTTCATCAATCACTAGATTGAATAGTAGCGGGCTCAGCGGATCCCCTTGCTTTACACCGCAGCTAAACCTAATGTCCCTCGTCGTTTCCTGCCCCACCCGAATCTGCGTCACAGAGGTTGCCAAGTTCGTCGCAACGTAACGTATGGAACGCTCGTCCACCCCAAACCGTCTGAGAGCTCCCACAACGCTCCCATGTCCAACGGTGTCAAAGGCCTTCCGTAAATCGAGTGAAGCGACCGCGTACTCTTTATTGGAGGACACCCTATTCCGAATGTACGAGTGTAAAATCATACAGTTCGCGAGAGTGCCGTCCAGCGTACTGAAGCCGCGTTGATTGGCTTCCAGGGCGACGACCTTCCGCAAGCGGTTAGCCATCGCCCTGTGCATCAGTCGCTGGGGGGCACTCTCGATAGTAAGGGGCCTCCAATTCGCCGCCTCGCTCCGTTGGCCGTCTTTATGTATAATAGTGGTCCTAGACCGCAGGAAGATGGCAGGGTGCACGTTTCTCATAAGAATGATTGAATATAAAACGCATAGCACCCTGTTGTTCATATTTTTGACCGATGCCACCGTTATCCCGTCAGCACCAGGTGCTGAGTTAGCCCATGCTGATTTGGCTGCCTCTAATTCGCTCTCTATGAATGGAGCAAAAGTGGTGGCATCGGTGTTTAGTGGTTCGGGATGAATCGTCATCGTCTCCGTCGCAGCCCGCTCGCAGATCCCGCTATACAGTTCCTCAACCGCTTTTAGAGGGGGTACCTCTTCTGTAGAGTCTAGTGGAATCCCTGAGATAATTTTATCCACTAGAGCTGTTCTGTTACGGAGGTAGAGATCCTGGGCCTTTTTGTACGATTCTACCCGTGGACCTCTTCCTGGTCTAGTACCTCCGTAATTTTTTGGTTTTTGTCCCCCTCTGTAACCATTTGAGTTGTATTTCCTCCCCCCTTTTTGGAATAGTTCTAGTATCCAATTGTCTAGATAAGAGGCAAGATCGTTAATCGCTAGCGATGATCCTGCCTGGCACAGGTCCGCCAGATGGCCGTTCCCATTGGCCAGCGCTGCTTCGCGTTCAGACGCGAGGTATTCGCGCAGCGCTGGTTCAATGACCACCTGGGTTTGTTCGACCTGTGCGGGGGAGTTGGCGGTGAGGTTAACTGCTTCGGTGCGGGGTCTCCTTACTGTAGGCTGCGACAGAGGCGACATCGATTCCTGCCGAATCCTCCTCCTGCTTGTCGTCGGATCGGGAGAGAGTGGCGATAGTGTGGACGCAACCGCGGCGGAGCACTCACCTTCTTTGACATCGTCGCGAGCTGTTGGTGGCGTCGATGTCACTGCCTGATGGTCGTTCTTCTCGCTCGTTAGGCAGGTGGGCGGCTCACAGGGCACACTGGGAGAAGGGATTAGTTGTTTCTTCCTAGCGGCATCGAGGTATTGCTTATAAATAGGTTTGTCCCTTCGATGCCGTATTTGGTCCTTCGTCAGACCTGATTCCGCAACCATTTTCGCCATAAAAGGGCCTTTATGCGTCTGGGTTTCGATGGTTGCCAGTATATCGTAGATTTCGGAATCAGGCCTTCGTAGTTCCCTCCTCCTGTTGTCATTCTCTGGTTCAGGGTGTGCCCTCTGCTCGTGAAGCCGCACCCCCTGTGTATGTTGTAAATCCTGCATTGCAGTATTGGCGTTTGGTTCTATCACGTTTGCCGCATGTTAAAAGATGCTTATTGAGGCCACTCTTTGTTTCATAAGGCCTCTCGCATATATGGCATATAGTGCAGCATTGGCAGGCTCCAGGGTCACCGTATTACTGGGCACTGGTATTAGAGAAATAGTACTTGAGCCTGCCAATTTGGTTCCGGTGGCTGTTGGGCCACCGGCAGTCGATTTCCCACCCGCTGGAGGGGATTTAACTGATTTTCCCTCATTTGTATCAAGTTTCCTCTTGCGGGTGGGGTGACGTGACGTTATGTCACGAGTTCTGACTCCCTCTGCCGCAGCAGCGGTTTTATAGTTTTCCTCCTGGAATCCGCCATTGCGCATGAGCCGCTGTTGTTGAGTGTCTTCGTATGTTGGGTAGATTAAAGGTACTATCCTTTCCGCGTATGGGAAAACCGTTTGCCGCTACTAAGTCTGGTTCCGGAGATATCGTGTATGAAAGATTTTATCTCCGGAACTACCTCCTCCCAGCTCCTAGTATCCTAATACCTGGCCGCACTTAATACGGCCAGTGTGGCGTTATCTTTCAAGATATGGAGCTGAGATTTGGTGTGTGTCCTTGGGGCCGGTAGATGAAAAGTTGTACGCCTTTTTGGCCCCGTCGGACACGATGGAGCTGCCAAAAGGGCAGTAGCGGCTAAACGCCGGAAACCGGCGTTGCGGGGGCAGTTGAGCTGGTGTAATTATTTTCTGATGCGCGATGCCCCAAAGACAATATGGGGCCCGCTGTCAGTCGTGAGATTCTAACCTTGCTTAATGGTTTTAGGTTAGAATCTCGATGTTTCTTGGATTTTCCCTTTTTGATACCAGCCCTTGCACTCACCCCGCTGTCTCCACTCCCACGCACTAAACCTGTCACCGCACGTGTGTTGCCCGTTGTTGAGGGCGTCGCGACGCGGTAGAAACTCTTGATGCGTTTTTAAAGTCGCGTGATATTCAACATCCAGCCTCTAGCCAAGGCAGGTTACTTTCAAGCGCCATCGCATCACCTTTGCCTCAAGAGGCAGCTGCTAAGCAGAAGCGGCCGAGGGAGAGCTACTCACCGCGAGAGCTCAACCCCGCTAAGAGGAAATCGCAGCCGGCTAAAAGTCGACAAAACAAGCAGAGGAATGAATGCAATCCTGACGGGACTGATCCCACCAGTGCGCCGTCTGAGATGAGGAAACGAAAAAGAGTGGCAAGCCCAAGTGGCTCAGGAATTCAAACCACATCAAAAGAACCCGGATCTGCGGTCAATAGCCCAAATGATCGCCCTGCAACGGATTCTTCGCCTTCGAATACTCTAAAGTCGCACCGCGACACTCTTAATGACGGACCTGGAACCTCCTACAGCCACGCTGTGGCTGAAAGTAGTCCTTGTGCCCACGGGGCAGTGCTGCCCCAGAAGTCACCGAACCCTCCTGCACCATTGGTAAACCGAAACTCCACTTTTGTCGAGTACCTGCGGGAGGGGAGAGGCGTCTTCACCGAGGCTGGGCACAGGGACATAAGACGTCTTATCGATATGGCCATTTTCGGCTCCCCCGAGCAATTGGCGGTCGCATTAGACCGCTGGGTGGAGTCGAAGCTTACTAAAAAGGCCTCATTTAATCGAGTACAGAGGAGGAACCAGCAACCCGGCAGGCATTACAACCAGCCAAAGGGCGGCAGCGGTAAGCGCGCGTCCGAGTATAAGAAGGCGCAGGACCTATTTGTGAGGGACAGATCCGGCCTCGCCGATATCGTGCTCGGGAGGCGGAGCATGTACGAGCCACCAAAGCTACCCACCATACTTGAGGTGGAGACATTATTTGCGGGGATCTGGGAATCCCCTGCAGGGACTGATTGAGTGATCCTAAAGCAGCAACATCAGAGGTTTTTTTACCCCATCTCTCCTGATGACGTCAGCATGGCCAAGACCAACTGGCAAAACTCGGCTCCTGGCCCCGATGGCCTTACAATTGCTGACGTCAAAAAGATTGACAACAAAGAGTTGAGCATAGTATATACCATCATCCTTGGGAGAAATATCCACCCTACGACGTGGAAATACAGTAGGACCGTGCTGGTCCCCAAGGATGGTGATAGTGCCAAAGCCGATAATAATAGACCCATTACCATCGGGTCCTCGCTTCAGAGGCTCATGCATCGTATCGTCAACAACCGTATTGGGAAGGCAGTCCAACTCAATCACCATCAAAGAGGCTTCAAAAGGATGGATGGAACGCTGGCGAATATTCTAATTTTAGACCATTACATTGGGTCGCGAGTGGAAGCCGGCAAGAGCTATAATGTTCTGTCGGTTGACATTCGTAAGGTCTTCGACAGCGTCTCTCATTCATCCATCATTAGAGGCCTCGAGAGGGTCGGTCTGGAGAAAGAGATAGTGGATTATATACGTGAATCCCTCACAAACTGCCAAACTACTATCAAAGTTGGCAAAGAATTCTCACGCCCAATCAATATCTGTAGGGGGGTGAAACAGGGCGATCCACTATCTCCTATTCTGTTCAACATAGTTGTTGACGATACGGGCTCCAGTCTCTTAAAATTATGGGCGGGGTGCTCAAAGATGTCGATAGACATGTGCGGGGAGCAGTTAAACGCTACTTGCATATGTCTATACACACAACCGATGCAGCCATCCATGCTAAGATCAAAGATGGCGGATTGGGCATCCCGGAGCTTAGAAGGGTGGTGCCCCAAATCCTCCTTAAGAGGATAACTAAGCTCCTAGAAGAGACTGGCGACGAGACGGTGTCGTGTGTTATTCAGTCAGACAGAACATTGGCGACTTTAAGACGGCTGCAGAATCTAGCGGGGGATATCCCTGCTGAGCAGCTCTGGCGAGAGGCTATTGCCTCGAAACCGACCACTTCTGGTATGCAACATACTTCTGAGGATGACGCTTCAAGAAGCTGGCTCCGGACCCGCCCTTCAGGTTGGTCCGGTAGGGATTATGTCCGAGCTGTTCACTTACGAACAAATAACCTACCCACCAACGGCCTGCCATATAAGCCAGCAGAGCAAAGACTCTGCCGTAATCAAGGGTGCAAGTGCGTCGAAACTCTTCACCACGTACTTCAAAAGTGCGGCCTTGCTCATGAGGAGCGAATTCGTCGCCACAACGAGGTGGTTCGCAACATCGCAGCCCACGCGGATGCGGATGTGCTAATATCCTGGGAAGGTAATGAAGGCTTAGGACCGGCGTGGCAGCGAAAGAAACTTCTTTATGGCAATACGAAATTTATAGAGGCTGCACGACTTCGCTGGCCCGGCAAGTCTTTTGAATTTTTGCCCATAATAGTCGGGGCACGTGGCATATGGTCACGCTGTAACGAGCCTACTGAGCATGCTCTTGGCCTGACCAAGCAGCTCAAAGAGAGCTGCGTCCATAGCGTGCTCAAGTGGGGCTCGGGTATACACGCAACGTTCATGAGACGTGCCAGGGCCATCGACACACGAACGTAGATCGCGCTGTGATTGCCTGGCTTGCGGGCGCTGTTTGCACTTTCGTCTTGACCGCACAGACCTATAACTTATAATAACCTATAACTTATGCCGTGATTCAAAACCACGTTAGTTAACACATGACGGAATAGCAGTGTCGCACTGATTTCATATGCGGTTTATCCGCAAAATGTCCAAAGGATTGTAAAATAGCCAAATGCCTTACGTACCTGGCAGGGTGTTGTACCTGGTAGAGCAGTTTCCACGCTGCGATCTATTGAGACTCAGCCCTTAGCTTGGGAATTCGACTTGTCGATGAGACGAGACCCCGATGATGATATATTATATACAGGGTGGCCAAACACGTGACGTCATAAAAAAAAATTAGATTTCCCACATCGAGAGGAACCCAAATCACCCCCATATATATGGTCCGATTTTGTTTAGTTTAGGAGTTATGATTTTTTTTCGGATTTTTCGAGAATTTTTGAGTTCTGTGTTTATTTTTACCATAACTTCGTTAATAATTGTGATAAATGCCTGCTTTTTTCACGATTATGTAGCTAAGACCTAAGGCTTAACTATCATATAATCATTCAAGTCATGTAACTAATACTACTTTTTAATTTTTTTCAAAATCTTCGAACATAACAAAAGTAAAAAAGTGCAACAACTTTGAACGTTTATAAAAAATTGAAAAAACATGTTCTTACTATTCGTAAGTATCTTAAAAACTTCCTTACGGTATCAGCTATTTACCGTAAAAATTTCATCAACCTAGCTTTACTACATGCTACCGTAATTGTGGCTCAAATATAACCGAACCCAAAATTGGATAACCCTCTGCTCAATAGAAATTGTTAGTTTCGGAAAAAAAATTTGCAAAAACCACAAAAACACGTTTGATTTTTACTGAACAGCAGATTATCATTCATTTATGTTATTTACAAGAGGTTTTCAAAATGTCTGCCTCTAACAGAAATGCACAGTGTACACACCTACGTATGAAATTTTGTTTTAAATCTCTAAATGCTTGTGTGTTGTTTTTCAACACATGTGTCGCTTCTTGAATTTTGTTCCTCAATGAATTTTCATTTGCACATTCTTGGGCGAATGTTATGTCTTTAAAATATCCCCAAACAAAAAAATCAATGGGGTTGAGGTCAGGGGAGCGTGGAGGCCATCGTATCGGTCCGTTTCGTCCGATCCATCTGTATGGGAACCTTTCGTTTAAGTAGTTTCGCACGATCGTTGCGTTGTGGCATGGTGCACCATCATTCTGGAACACCATGTTCCGTCTGGCTTCCAGGCTTGAATCTTCCAGCAATAATGGTAGGCTATTTTCAAGGAAGCTTTTGTAGGCTACCGAATCCAACCTTGACGGCAGTTCAAATGGACCGATAAATTCCATATTGAATATTCCTGACCACATGTTCACACTAAAACGGTGTTGAAATGTCGATGCATTATTATTATGGCGTTGCTCAAGGCAACGGCGCTTTAGCAGCTCAGCTGTACCGGGAACAACTTATACGCCGAGGCGGACCACAACCTGAGCATTACCCAGACCACCGTGTTTTTATTAACACACATAACACTTTCATGGCAGGCCGCATTCCAGGACGAGGAAGCAATGAAGGATATCCTACAGCTGATCCGGATCGCAGAGAAGTAGTACTTGAAGAAATTAGCCGGAATCCCTCAACGAGTACGAGATCTATGGCACAAAACCTTAGAATACCACGAACATCGATACAAAATATTCTTCATGAAGAAGGTTATCATGCCTATCATGTTCAAAGAGTTCAAGCGTTGATGCCTTCAGATTACCAGTTAAGAGTGGATTTCTGCGAGACAATGCTGCGAAGACAACGAGAGGATCCCGATTTTTTTGATAAAATTTTATGGACTGACGAGTCACGTTTTGAAAGAACAGGGATATTCAATATCCATAATTTACATACTTGGGCTGTTGAAAACCCCCACCAGTCAAGGCCGTCGACATTTCAACACCGTTTTAGTGTGAACATGTGGTCAGGAATATTCAATATGGAATTTATCGGTCCATTTGAACTGCCGTCAAGGTTGGATTCGGTAGCCTACAAAAGCTTCCTTGAAAATAGCCTACCATTATTGCTGGAAGATTCAAGCCTGGAAGCCAGACGGAACATGGTGTTCCAGAATGATGGTGCACCATGCCACAACGCAACGATCGTGCGAAACTACTTAAACGAAAGGTTCCCAGACAGAGATCGGACGAAACGGACCGATACGATGGCCTCCACGCTCCCCTGACCTCAACCCCATTGATTTTTTTGTTTGGGGATATTTTAAAGACATAACATTCGACCAAGAATGTGCAAATGAAAGTTCATTGAGGAACAAAATTCAAGAAGCGACACATGTGTTGAAAAACAACACACAAGCATTTACGTGTTTTTGTGGTTTTTGCAAATTTTTTTTCCGAAACTAACAATTTCTATTGAGCAGAGGGTTATCCAATTTTGGGTTCGGTTCTATTGAGCCACAATTACGGTAGCATGTAGTAAAGCTAGGTTGATGAAATTTTTACGGTAAATAGCTGATACCGTAAGGAAGTTTTTAAGATACTTACGAATAGTAAGAACATGTTTTTTCAATTTTTTATAAACGTTCAAAGTTGTTGCACTTTTTTACTTTTTTGTTATGTTCGAAGATTTTGAAAAAAATTAAAAAGTAGTATTAGTTACATGACTTGAATGATTATATGATAGTTAAGCCTTAGGTCTTAGCTACATAATCGTGAAAAAAGCAGGCATTTATCACAATTATTAACGAAGTTATGGTAAAAATAAACACAGAACTCAAAAATTCTCGAAAAATCCGAAAAAAATCATAACTTCTAAACTAAACAAAATCGGACCATATATATGGGGGTGATTTGGGTTCCTCTCGATGTGGGGAATCTAATTTTTTTTTATGACGTCACGTGTTTGGCCACCCTGATATATAATACACAATGAAGTGGCCAAAAAGATCGCCGCCCACACAACATCAATGCACACCACATTTATGCGTCGGGCTCGAGCTATTGAAGCTAAATCCGGCCACGTGTAACTGCTGGATTTATTTGGGCTCTGTTTGTATTTAGCCACTGTACCGCATCTCAAACCATCGATGCCGTGGGTCAGTTACACGTGTACTAATGGCGTATGAAGTATGTGTCACACTGATACTATAATCGCGATCTGCGATACATGTCCCACTGGATTGAAAATTAGCCAAATGCCTCGTCATCTAATTAGTGGCGCGCATGAATGGATTAACGAGATTCCCACTGTCCCTACCCACTGTCCCTACCCATTATATTATTTTATATTTGTATAGGTTTTTACATATGGATGTTATTTTATAATATTTCATTTGTACTGAGAAAAAAAAAGAACGGGGCCTTCCTTCCTCGCTAATTTTGTATGGCGGCGGTTGGTGGGTTCCTTTGGTAGTGGTTTTGCTAGAAGCAGTGGGAAGGTGCATAGGTTAAATCCGTAAGGTGGGTAATCAAGACGATTTCGTTGAGCATGTCCATACCCACTATCTAGCGAAACCACTTCCAAAACAAGTTATTCCAGCATTTTAGTAATTTTGGGTGGAGATTTACCGAGCGTCCCTCGTATACTTCATACCCAAAGTTGGACAGGGAGGTGTACATTTCCACGTTCCGTCGCGTCAATCACTTGTCTTCTGTCGACGCTGTACCGTTCCGTGCCTTTCCCCCCTCTCCACGTGTAGCGGTAGTAGAGGTTAGGGTCTGCATTCCGATTATTTCAACAAAATGTCTCCCCACGTGTAATATTTTTAGCTTGTTCGGGTGTATCGATGGCGGTCGAAGGTTCCTGACCTCCGGGCGGTGACTGCTGGGCAACGCTCATCCACCCGCAATGAAAATGGCGATGACAAGGATATTGAAATTTTGCTCCCCTATACAGAAAGGGTCATGTCCCCTATGCCTCAAAAGAAGCATAAACATCCTGCACATGACCATAAACGATGAAGTTAGACATCTAAAATCTGAAAGAAAGGGATATACGAAATAGATTCAAATGCAGGATGTGCTCGAAAATATATATATCCAAACATGCGGCACTGTGTCACGTCCCCAAGTGCCCCACCACCAGAGTCAACAGACTCCGAGACTGACGGAATACCAAGTAACTTGCCTATACCTGAATCGGTAAGCGTGGCCTGCCCCGATTGCGGCGAAAGGTACTCCGGCCGCAGTGCACTAGCACAGCACCAGCGGCACCGGCATCCACTCACCCGAATCGAAGCTAGGGCAGCCGGTACACGGCGGTCTCCTCGACAGAGAAGATTGGTGATCTTCACTGAAGAGGAGGAAGGAATAATGATGGAGTGCGAACTCCGGTACCGGGGTGAGTTGCGCATAGCAATGCGCATGCAGGAGCTGATACCAGAGAAAACTTTGAAACAACTCCGGGACAAAAGGGCCCAGAAATGTTATAAAGAACGACGAGACAAATACTTCGCAGAAAGAGGGATCATGGCGGGCGCTAGTACTGATGACAGTACTGAACCATTATCCACAGACACAGGGGATGGTAGAGCTACCGTCCCCGAAGAAGAAGCGCCCGCAGCCGCCAGCTGCGAGGATGCGAGAGTAGGGGTGGCTCCCCTATTCCAGTCCCGGAGTTACTCGATGTATCCGTGTGAGGTGGTCCTCAGTATCAAATAAATGGGTTTAGGGGCGGCTAAGAACCAGATCAGGAACTATCTAGCACTCCTGGCCAGAGTCCTCCCTCGGGAGGAAAAACCATACTTTACTGCCGGAACCCTGGTCTTGACTTTTTCGAAAAAATTAGGTGAACGGGTCCTCAAGATTAGAGAAAGCGACTATCGGCCTGAGGGGGACCCTCTGTGAGGGCGGACTCCCAACAGTTTTTAGGGAAAGCCTCGTATAGGCTGTCGCCTGTGATGGAATGCTTAGTTCAATCCATATCACACCCCGCCGCCGTGACTAGCGGTTTCTTGGAAGGCATCTTACGACTCGTACCTACAGCACAACACCAATCTCACCCTCCACCAATAGGGGTGGTCACCAATAAGGTGAGTTGAGTACATTTTAAAATAAGCCGAAGCTGGTCACCACAGATAAAATGCATAAATACATAAATAAGTTTAATAATAATAATAATATATTAAAAACATAAAATCAGACGAAACATTTAAAATATAGTGCAGTAGGGCTAAAATGGTCAGAGTTTTTTCCCACAGGTTGCTGAATCACCTGTGGGTTTGCGCGCCGCGGCGCGTCCGAGGGCGTCGTAGTCCATGAATTCATGGTATATTTCGATGGAACTACGAAGTGCTATTAACGACATTGTTAGAAGCACGTGATTTTGAGAGATTTCTAACTTAGTTAGGTTTTTGATGGTCTCCCTGGGCATCGCCCCTCTGGTTCCTACCACGACTGGCAGGACTTCAGCAGAGCAAGCTGCCCACCTCTGCTGGAATTGAGGTAGGAAGCGGCTATATTTTTCAAATTTGCTTGTACACCATTGAGCGAGATTGTTCCCGTCTTCGTGGCGGACTGTAACATCGACCACGAAGACCCTTTCCCGGCTTGTATTACCAGGTCAGGTTTGAGATTCCTGCCTCGGTTGCCGCCACCGACGGTTCAACCGTTATTGCTACCTCTGGGCCTTTCTTTTGAGTTCTTGCACGATGAGGTTTTTGATCTCATCGTGCCTTCGAACCCTATGTGGTTTGGTGTGACGACATTGCCCCAATATGTGTCCCAATGTCTCAATTGTGAACCACATTGCCTGCATGTAGTATCCGGTATTCTGGTCGCTCTACTCATGGCCGCCCTGTCAGCACATGAGTTGGTTCTCATTTTGAGGGCTGTAATCATACCACATGGCTTGAGCAACGAGGGGTCCCTAAGCCATGCGTTTCCGACCTTGGAGTCGGCGAAGGCCGCTGCCGACTTTCCTTGAGAACCAAGGCGCTTCCATCTGGCAAGCTCAGCCTTCTTTTGCGTTCTAGTATAGCTGGCCAGTTGCTCCCCAGTAACTGGCC